GCGCACTCAAGGAGCCGTATTACTATGCAATAAGCAATGCCAGGACTGGATACTATAATGGAGACTGAGGGAGGCTAGGAGGCAAGATTGGAAGAACAGAGACAACGGGGCGGTGTAGGTGATGTGAAGGAAGACACGAGTAGCCAATAAGGAGGCTAGAAAAGAATTAAGTGCACAGGCGAGCCTGGGTTATTGAGTAGTTGAGAGCAGAACCATAGAATGTAGGCGACCAATAGGAAGCATGTACTTCTAGGGGATGGTTTTACCTGTTCTCCTAGCTTCCGTGATTCCCCATTGCTCTGTGAATGCTAGTGTCTTAAGGCCTAGACTGCATCATCAAAGAAGGCCAAAATGCTCTCCTTTCACAGATCCTGAGTATCCTCTAGCCACCTCCCACCTCTTGAGTGGTACCACTAGCCAAGAATGTCTCTGTTCCTTAATGTCCCCGACTGATTCTAAGCGTTCTCCAAGACATGACACTTTTGTTAAATGAATGGCCATGTGGGAAACGGGTGTATGCGAAGGGTTAGCTTTCTTTGACTTCAGCTCAGCAAACACTGAGCCTCGCTGTGTGCAGCCAGGAGTTGATTAGCCATATTAATAGATACTGAGTAAAGTAACCATAAAATCAAAGCCCTGCCCTTCTTGCCCAGTTTGACACTTCATATCCCACAGTGGTCTCACCTCATTTCTTTCTCTCCTCATCTTCTCCTAAGAATACTGTTCCTTCTGCTTCCCCAATCTAGTGAATTCTTTTCACCTCTGCAGTATCACCTGCAAAACAGAACTGTAGCTTCTCTCCGCTCAATGTGTCTATAAATAACGTTCCCCCTCCATTATGGAGAATTTTTCTGAACACCTACCATATGCCAGGTTCTGAGTATGCATTATTTCAGTCTAATCTCCACAGCATCCTCAGGAGGGAGCCACCCCACTCACACACACACACAACCAGCAACTTCTCTCCAGTATCCAGAGAGGAGTCATAACAGAACTGTTTGCAGTATCATTGATGGAATGTCCACTTTACAAGCTTTAATTTTGTGACTTGAACAATTATTTCTAAGATGACAATATGTAATCCATTAACTAGTGATTTCCTACTGTTCATTTTTTTTCTGTAAATCTGTATAACTTGTACCCTTTCCCTGCTTTTTTTTTCTTTTCTCCTTAAATAAAATTAAAAAAAAAAATTCAGAGAGGAGTCATAGGTCAGAAAGGAATATGTTCTCCTATAGCAAAAAAAAAAAAAAAAACATGAATGTATGGGGCTTAAGCAAAATAGAACTTTCTTGCTTTTTTTTTTCTAATCTAAAAGCTTAAGCTGGCAAGTAGTCCAAAGATTCCATCCTACCCACCCAGCTTGGGTATCATCTGTGCCCTGGTCTGACTCCATGACTGATCCTTCAAATCCTGTGTGCTCATTATTCACATTTCCCCAAATTCAACCTCTTACTACCGTCTCCACTCCCAGCACTGTCACCTGGACTATTTTTTTTTTGTCTTTTTCATTTTTTATCAGTACCAGGGATCGAACTCACAACTGCCTGCTTGCAAGGCAGGCGCTTATGCCGCTGAGCTAAATCTCCAGCCCCAAAGGTTGAGCGGCCACCTGGACTATTGAAGTAGTTCACTGGCCCCTGCTTCTTTCCTCACACCCCACACTCCTACCTTTGCCAATCAAGGGATCCTGTTAAAATTCTGAGACCATTAACATGTCCTCTTGCTTAAACTTCTCATGAGTTTCTCCTCATTCAGACCAAAAGCCAAAGTCATTACAATGGTCTACAAGTCCTGCATGGTCCTAATCCCACTAGTCCCCTCTCTGACCTCACCTTCTCCCCTTATTCTTCTCACTTTCTTCTTAACTATACCAGCCTGCTTGTAGACGGTAAATAAATCAGGCAGTCTCACCTCAAGGTCTTTGCACTGGCTGTTTTCTCTGAAATTCCACAAATATTGACATGGCTTCCTCCCTTGCTTCCTTCAAGTCTTTTTCAAAGGTTCCCTTCTCTGAAGATGTTCTCTGACCTGTTTAATCCTGTCCACTCTCCCTCAAGTCCCAGTACACTCAATCCCCTAACCCAGAATCCTTCTATAGGAGAGAATATGGTCCAGGATAGAAATGAGGTACTAACCTCTGCTCTCCCCTGCCCACCTGGCCCCCAGTCCTCATCGTGCAAAGATCCAGCAGCAGTAGCATCACCCTTCTCATATCCCAGGTCCCACTCAAGTAGCCTCCTAGGACCCTTCAGCCACTCCTCTTACTTGTTTTCTACTTGTCTGAGCAATCTGTCTTATAGACTAGGTGACAGTGAGACGATCAAGGGAAAGTAGAAGGAAAATGCAGCACATACCTTGGACCCTGAGAGAGAAAATCAGCCCCTTCTCCCAGCAGGAGATAGGTGCTAGGACAGGAATTGGAACTTCAACTTCTAGAACTGGCCTGGTTTGTAATTACATGGGTAGTATAGGGAATGTTCAGACCTAAGTCTTCAGGGAGTTCTATGTTCTACCCCTTGGGGACATCCCTACAGCCAGTGCCCCAGGACTCCTTCCTGACAAGCATGCTCTCTGCACCCCTTCCCTTGTTCCCTCCCACAAGTAAGATTCCCGTAAGCAAGCAGGGTCCCTCAGACCTCCAAGCTGAGGGCCTTTATCCTGCCTTGGTGCCTCCCCTGCTGCCTAACACACAGAGGCCATCTCTGATTCTTAGACGTGTCCCAACAACTCCGAAGCCCCAACCAGTGAAAGTTCTGTTTTGAACTAATGTTAAGAAGTGTGGGGTTTTTTGTTGTTGTTGTTGTTGTTGGCTGATTTTTTAGGTCTCTCTCTCCCTCCCTCCCTCCCTCCCTCCCACCTTCCCTCTCTCTCACCCTCTTCCTCTCCTCACTTCTTCTTCTTCTTCTTCTTCTTCTTCTTCTTCTTCTTCTTCTTCTTCTTCTTCTTCTTCTTCTTCTTCGTCTCCTCCTCCTCTTCCTCCTCATCCTTCCCCTTCTCCTTTCCCTTCGTCTCCTCCTCCTCTTCCTCCTCATCCTTCCCCTTCTCCTTTCCCTTCCCCTTCCTCTTCCCCTTCCCCTTCCTCTTCCCCTTCCCATTCTCCTTCTCCTTCTCTTCCTTCTCCTTCTCCTTCTCCTTCTCCTTCTCCTTCTCCTTCTCCTTCTCCTTCTCCTTCACAAAGCCAAGCCAAGTTCATTCTGGGATTTTCCAGAAAGGTGAGTTGCATTAAAGAAAGATGCTGTTCTTTTTTGTTTTGAGGGCTTAGAAGGTAGGGAAAGAAAAAGGGGTTAAGTAAAGAGTGGGCTTTGGCCAGTGGATTTGTATTGGGCAAATAAGAAGCTGTTTTCAATTTCTCTTCCCCAAGCCTGAAGCTAAACTTGCAGAAGGGCTGGAGTAGACATTGGATGACTAGAAACCCGAGCCCTGCAGAGAACTGGAGAGTGGATGCTGGAAACCTCAGCCCCAGCCTGTCAGCAGAAGTCCCTGGAGGCTGGTCTTCCAGCGACCAATGGTTGGAGCAAATGAGTGTACCTAAGTGAGGAAATGCAGCCTCATCTCTTGGACAACCTTAAGACTCTACAGTTAAGCCCCCAGAAGAATCTCCAAATCCCAGAACTTGCTTTTTTTCTGCATCTTAGAATTTAAAGCCTCAGACTGTTGGGCTCAGAGAAACTGGCAGTTTCAAAGCCCAGCACCAAGGAAGGTGGGACCCCCATTTTCCAGCTCTTTGATCTTGGGCAAGTTGCTCAACTACTCTGTGCCTCCGTTTTCCCCAACTGTATAACAGCAGTACAATAATGATGAAATGGACTTTGAAGGGTTCTGGCAAAAATTGAACACAACTGTTTGTCAGAAGTTGTATGCTATCTCTGGCACCTAGAAAATTCGAGATAAATGTTAGCTATCAGCATGATGGTGGACGTTTGGAATCGTAAATCCTTGGAAACTTGGACTTTCTAACGTAAAATATCAAAATGGCTGAGGGCATCAAAAGCATCAGACTGTGGTGTTCCTGACTGGAGAGGACCAGTGTCCCAAGGGGCCTCTAGGATTCTTCACAAGCCTGAGTGAACTCGTGTATACTGGTAGGCTGCTTGAGATCTTCTCAGTAGAACAGCCATCAAGTCAGAGCTCTCAGGCACTAAGGTGTGATGAGGCAAGATTTTCCTCTCCTCCCTCACTCAGTGACTCTTAGTGGATTGTGGGAGCCAGTAATTCTCAGACTCTTCAGTTCTGAGAATTGTAGAGAGTAGAGGTGGACTCCCTAATTTTTCTCCATGAAGTACTTTTTCTTCATGAAGTACATGCCCCTCACCCTCTGTGAAAAAGAGGACTGCAGGAGCATCCAACACGCCTCCTCCCTGGCCAGCACAAATGGTGGTAACCATATCAGTTCTACCCAAGGGGAAACAGCCCTGCAGCAGGGTGAAGCCTTTAGGGACCCAGCCCTATACTTTCTCTTCCCTGGTGTTTCTTGTCTTACATAGGACATCATATTCCCTCTTTCTTCACCCAGAGACCCTAAAATATCCGCTTACACACAGTGTGGTGTCTCTGCCTGCTTTGGGATGCCTCTGTGATTTGAGTTCTTTTCTTTATTTTTTTTTTCTTACTGTACACACTTTTGTTTTAAAAACTGTGGTTTCTCATGAGCTCTGTTATCTCATTGATACCTCTCACCTCTGTGGTAAGGGGAAGAAATCGTATTTTCAGATGACTCGTAAAGGGCAAAGAAAAAACCCAAAATTTCAAAATTTCCGTTTAAGTCTCATAATCAAGAAGAGAAGAAACAGAGAGAGAGAGAGAGAGAACTATGAGAACCCCCCCCCCACCCTATGATTATCAACACACACACTCATCGAAAAAAAAATTGGATTATTAGAAGAGCGAGGTCTGCGGCTTCCACACCGTGGTTTTTCTTCTCGGTATAAAAGCAAAGTTGTTTTTGACATGTGACAGTTTCCCACAAGCCAGGCTGATCCTTCTCTGTTGGTCCACTTCACCAAGGTGAGTGTCCCGGCTCTCCCCAACCAGATGCGCTCCCGTGGAGGAGAAGGCAGGGAGGTAGGCACTGAAGGGTCAGGGACGCTCCTGTGTAGATGGACGTGCCCTGCCACTGCGAGCCCAACCAGGTAAGATCTTTTAAAAATAATTAATATTCATAATAAATGCCATCAATTACTTAACTGATGCTTGGACAAGGACAAAGATCAATAAATTGATCAATTGATAGCCAGATGGATAGAATTTTTGAAGTATGTCAACTGCCAGTCTTGATGGATTTCAGAGTTCTAAACAACTTAAAATGCTGTCCAGGTGTTCCTGGAAATTTCAACTGCATCTCTTCTGTCTTGATGCCTCCCATCTTTCTCTGTCTCTATCTCACCCTGTGTCTCTGCTCTTTCCTTTGACATCTCACTGTCTCTCTCGAACTCAGATTCTGTCTGTCTGTCTTCCCAAAGCTCTGATAGTCCTCTTTGTCTCTGTCTCCTCCATCTTGGTCACACTATTATTGCCTTCCCTCTGTCTCTCTCCCTCCTTGCCTCTCTTCTGTTACCTTCTATCACCCACCTTCCCACCCAGCATCTAACACAGAGTTTTATACACATCTGGTACTTAATAATGACTTGAGTATCTCTGAGCCCGTTTCTGTTTTACAAAACTAGGCAGCAGTTCTTTCTGTCCCAGTAGCAGGAGGATTATTGTCTGGTCCAGCTGAGCATCTAACTAAACTTGTGCTTGCATCACCTGAGAGACTCTCTTAGGGGGCACTTCATGCCATTATCAACCATGGTTCAACTGTGTGTTGTGGTCCTACCCCATGCATGTGACCAGAGTATGTGTCAGGAAGAGAGTAGGCCATTCAGGGCTGGGATGAGCTGATCTCTGCATGCTTAAAACAGTACTTGGTACACAGTAAGCACTAAATATTAGCCATTAGTATTTTTAAGTTAAAAAATTACTTTGGGAAATTAGACCTATGCTATGTATATATTGATTTGTTCCTCCTTTATTCAATTAATAGTATTTTATAGCCCACTAAAAATTGTTTGAATACATGATCTTTCATGGCTATCATGACTGTCCTCACATCAGCAGAAATTACGATTGGACCAATTGCTGAATATTGAACATCCAGGTTGTTGGATTTTTTTCCCCATAAACATGCCTGACTGAGTCCTTGGATTCCTGCAAAGGAATATACATTTTTATGGTTTCTGACCATCTCTGCAAATAGTTCTTCCTGAAGGTTGTCCTGTTTTACACTCCCTTTATTCATGCTAATCCTGGGTTAATATTATCATATTTTACTCCTTTCCCAAAGTAACAGGCACAAAAAAACTTAACCATGTTGTTTAAATGTATATTCATTGATTATTTTTACTGTCTGTTAGCCATTTGTGCTTTGGAAGGGGAGTAGAAGCTAGTCAAGTCAGTTCTAATAGGGAGTATAACCTTTTTCTTATTACTTGGTCATAGATCTTTACTTGGAAAGAATATTAATCTTTTTTCAGTCATATATAGCAAATGTTTTCCCCCAATTCATCATTTGCTTTTTCTATTTGTTTGTGGTGTTTTTTGTGATGCTTAGGCTGTTTTTATATAGTCAAATAGGTTGGTCTTTTCTTGTGTGGTTTCTGCCTCTGGTTTTGTGCTTAGAAAGTCTTTTCCCACTTGAAAATGAGATAAATGTACACCCTGTGTTGGCTTCTGGTCTCCTTTATGGCTTCATTTTTTCCATTTACTGTAGAGGTTAACAGTGTGGGTATTGGAGCCAGACTGTCTGGGACAAAACCAGCCTCACCCCAAATCATATGTGTGATTTTTAGCCAGGCACTTAACCTCTCCCTGCCTCCATTTCCTCATATGTACTGTATTGATTATACTAGTATCTATTTCAAAGGGTCTTTGTGAAGATTACATCTATTAATCACGATAAGTGCTTAGCACATGGCCTGACAAACAATAAATACAAGATCTACATTAGACATTAAAATGTATTTCTGTAATGGACCTGGAGTTTATTCTGGAGTATATAATAATGATGCCATTTCAAACAGGATGAGGATGGGCCAGTGGGAAAATGGACTGATTATTCACTTAGTCAATTATTTTCCCCTGATTATTCAGAAACATTTGTTAATCCTTTCTTCAACATCCTCCATGTTGAAATGCTACACTTCATCACAAACTCTGTTCCCTCTATGCACGGGTCTCTGTCCAAGCTTTCTACTCTGATCCTCAGTATCTGTCTTTGTACCACAACCCACCATTTTGTCGATTAGTGTTTGCAGAACAGTTCAACACCCAGCTATGGGCATCCAGAACTTTGCCCTTCTCTAGCCTTAATTATTTTAGGCACCATCAGTCTCCCAGCCAGAAGGCAGTGACTGTTCCTTATGGGGCCATCCTCTTTCTGTCTATCTCTATTACTCTATTTCTCTGTCACTCTATTTCCTCTCAATGTCTCCTACTGTCTTTGTATCTCACTGTTTGTGTCTATCTTTGTCTCACCTCGTGTCTCTCCCCCTTTCTCTGAATCTCTTGTTCTCTGCATCTCTGTTCCCTCATGTCTGTCTGTTTTTCCCTCTCCCTCTCTGTGTCTCTGTCTTTCTCTGCATTTCTCTATGCGCTCCCCTGGATCGAGCGGGAATTATAAACTAAAAATCCTGTAGACACCTAACAAGACACAGAGCAAAAGTGCCTTATCCTTCTTATGCCCTGCCCAGCGTAGAAGGGAAAAATGAGGCCCAGAGATGGGCAGAGGGTCCCTCTCCAGACCCCACAGAATTGCAGAGGCAGAGTTCAGATCCAGGCTCAGGTTTTAGGGCTCTAAGCAGGACCCTGGCTCTGCTTCTGTCTCTCTCCCACTGTGAGCCTCAGCTTGCTGCTCTGCACCTGGGAAGGGAGTTAAGAAAGGCCTGAGCTGCCATTCACTCTTCTGCCTTCATACTTGTTGGACCCTAACTTGGGTAGGATGATCCATGATCATGGCATAGGGCCTGGCATCACAACAGCTGATTTGGGTGAGACCGAGGGCCTCATGGTTCAAGAGTCTCAGTTGGCCAGAGGATGGTAATGATGTCAGTCTACATGTCCCCGGAGCTGACACTGGTTCCCAGGGAACCTCTGTGCTACAGCTCCTTTAGAGAACCTGATGGTGGGCTCCTTTCATGAGACCCAGGCCAAAGGCTTGTCAGCTTCAACTTCCTCCTTCTATCCTCACCTTTGGCAGAGTGCTGTGAGTTGGGAAGCACTGTTCCAGAATAGACAGGGAGGAAGATGAGTCCATAGAAATGTCTATTTACCAATCACTGACATTTTGCTAGGTGCTTCATGTGCCTGAATTTAGGAACTATTCCTGTCCTAGTGTGTACATGAGCTAATTCGAGGAGCATTAAAGCCAGTTGGTGGCAGGGCTGGCCTCAGGCTTGGGGGGAAAAGGGACCTCTTCTGACTTTCTGCCTTCATGGAATTCAGGAAGGAGGCTGAGGGGATGTCTGCTTCCATTCTGGGCCTACTGGGCAGGAGGCCTATGAAGAGTGAGTGAGGCCTATGAAGTGTCCTTCAGGTAGTTCCAATTTGTTTGGACACGAGGACCATTGGTCTACACATACTGAGAAGTTGAATCCATTGACCCCACAGAGTTGGTAGTTTTTGTTTTTTTGTACCTGGAATCAAACTCACAACCACGTGCTTGCCAGGCAGGCATTTATGCCACTAAGCTAAATCCCCGGCGCAAGTAGGTAGTTCTGAGATTTAGGTTCCTTTTAATTTAAGAAATGATCTCTTACAATTCTGAGGTTTAAGGTTTACTATTTAAAGACCCCAGGAGTCATAGTATCAATGGAGCTTTCCTAGCCCTCCCCGAACTTCCAATCTGGAGTTTATCAGCGGCCCAAAAAAGACCAGGTCGGCAAAATCTGGGCCTCACAATAGTGGCCAAATGGACGTCACCCACCACATCCGCCAACACCCACATCACCCCACCTGGGCCAAGCCGGCTGCAGGATGGGCCAGCCAGTTCTCGGAACGAAACCTTGGGGTGGAGTACCTGCCCCCTTCTCTTCCTCCTTAGCACCGATGAAGCCCAGTGCATCCGGCCGCCATGACGTCGATGGCGGAAATATCTGGGGAAGTTGGGGGCTGTGACAACAGGGCCCAGATGCAGACCCCGATAGGAAAACATAATCTATGTCCCAGAAACATCCTCCATGCAGCTTCTGAGAAACCTAGTCAGAAAGGGACGCCCAACAGACAGTGCAGGAAGCCGGCTGGCCAGCCCGGCCCCCCAGGTCCTCCATCACCAGACAGACCATAGCCAGGCCCCCTTTCTGAGAATTTAGCTGTACCTCCCTGAGTCAGGTCATTTCAGACATATCTAAGGACGATATTTCTTACAAACTCTGGCCAAGTGTCCAGGCAGCTTAAGTGACCATGAACCAGCTATGTGCGTCAGAACCAAGTGATAGAAAACATCCATTCACTCAACAAAATGGGTATTTATTTGCTCAGGCTGCTTTAACAAAGTATCACAAGCTGGAGAGGAGTGGATGCTTGTACTACAAAAGAATTTTTTTAAATTAACCCCTCAAAGTTCTAGAGGCTCAAAGTCTAAAATCGAAATGTCTGCATGGCTGAGAGGTGAAGGCTAAGGATCATAACGTTGAGCCTTGCCTGAGCAAAATAGCAAGAGACTTTGTCTCAAAATTAAAAAGGAGGCCAAGGATGTAGTTCAGTGTAAAGACCCTGGATTCCATTCCCAGTACCAGAAAAAGAAATGTCAGCAGAGCTTGTTTCTAAAGGCTCTGAGAATCTGTTCTGTTCCATGTCTCTCTTCTAGCTTCTGCTGGTTTGCTGGCCATATTTGCTATTCCCTGGTTTGTAGAAGCATCACCTCATCTTTGCCTTTACTCATCCATTCCCCCCATCCTCTCATCTCAGCACTGTTCTTCTTGGCCCTTGTTCTAAGCCTCCATGGACTAGACTCCTGTTTCTCACACTAATACTCTAGTTCTCAAGATTTTAATACCTGCTTGTCACAACCATCTTCCTCAGCACCACAGCTGTGACATGAGATGATGGCAAGGAAAGGAACAAGTGTCCCTCAAACTTCCGTACTCCTCCAAGCTGCCTTCAGCAGCTGTGTGCCCAACCCAAGTACTGTGCCATGTACTGGTATGTGAAGTCACACACATTCACACATGGGTACACACACCAGAGCAGATGTGAAATTCACACACACACACACACACACACACACATTTCCTGGAGAAAGAAGTGGAGGTCTCAAGTTGCCATGGGACCAGGGAACTCTGCACCTGGGTGTCTCTTTCAGTAACAAGGATGTTGCACTCAGCAGTCTTCCAGCTATGGCTTGCTTGATTCTGGGATCAAAGGATCCTGAGAAACTGAGCCCACGCACTTTAAGGAGAAGGTACTAGGGCTGATTAGAGGAGCCTGAAGCCACGATGAGGGCTTTCGGGAATAGAACACTGGAAAAGCAGAAGTGGAGGTGTGGGCATTCCAGGCACTATGAATAATGTGAGCCAAAACTTGGGGAACACAAAATGAGTTGACCAAAGATAGGAGCTGAATTGAGAAGGTCTAATAGGCCCTGGCTCACAGGTCCCTCCTCCCTCTAGCCTGTCCCTCTAGCACTTGGTATGCCAGCTCTGTGCAGGACAGGAATACAGAGCTAATCATGCCCTGCCCTTGCCCTGAGCCCCACACTCTTTTATTCAGTTGCCCACTCTGCATGTCCGCCAGTGCGTCTAATTCTAGACTCTTCATTTCCATCCACACCAGATTATAACTCTCAACCCTGCTCCTCCTATTCCACATATCTGGTAATGTCAGCTCTGTTGTAGCTGCCCAAGCTAAACACCACAAGTCATCTTGGTCCTCTCTCTGACCTCCTACATCCAAAATGCCAACAACTTCTATGTCAAAACCAACTCAAAATCTCGCCACTTCTCTCTAGCTCCCGTGCCACTACACCAGGTGGTGCTCTTATCAGTTGCTTGGACTGTTGCAGTAGCCTGCTCACTAGCACTGCAGCTGCCTCCCTAGAGCTTGTCCTCCTCACAGCAACCAGATGAATCTTTTGAGTCCATGCCCAAGTGAATGGGGTAAAATAACAAAACTTCTAGAAAAGTCAAAGACCAGCTCCAGAAATAGCAGTAAAGACTGGGTGTCCCATGCTGGCTACAAGGGGTACTGGAAGGCTGAGGCATAAGACTGGTCTCAGATAGTGGGGAGACAAGCTGGGACCTACTCTGGCTGAAGCCTCACAAACCAGTTGCCCATGGCCATGGTGGAGGGCTCATACAAAGCAAAGCTGTGCTGGCACATGTAGGTAGGCTAGATGCTGAGTCCATGCCTGTGGGGCATGTGGGTTTACACCTGCCTATGTTCCTGACACCATTATGTGTATGTGTGTAGGACTAGAGATGGGGTAGTCATGGGACTCTCCAGGACATGCCCTGACCAACACTTGCTCTCACCAGAGGCTGTTCATGTGCTTCGGTGGTGGAATACCTCACAGCACCCATGGCAAGTGTAACTCCTTCTCCCTGTGTACCTATAGCCTGCCCTCGGACAAGCACCTGATGCCCAACCTCAGGCCAGCCAAGCCCTTGGCCCCTTCCTTGCCTCTCGGCCCATCCCCAGGAGCCTCACTCAGCTGGAGGGCTACACCCAAGTCCTCAGACTTGCTGGGACCCAGGAGCCCAGGAGGAACCTTCCAGGGCCGAGACCTCCACAATGGGACTCATGCCCCCTCATCCTCCTCTTTGAACCCCCTGCCACCATCGCAGCTTCAGGTGAGGCTCAGGTCCCAGAATGGGGCAGGCAGGGTGGGGTACCTGGGCCTACAGGTGTCGACCTTTACTGTGGCACAGGGTGGAGGGGGGAACCTGCTGGGGCACAGGAAGTGGTTTCTGGGTCCCCGGCAAGTCTGTGACTTATGCAGATGTTACAGGGCCAAGAAAGTCCCCACTTTCCAGGCCTTAGAGATTTGAGTCTTTCCCCGACCTCCAGATTCATCTCAGGAGAGAACTTATTATAGTTCCATGGGCACAGCCATGTGTCTTCATCCCCATGGAACAGGAGATAGCTGGGGCCCTAAGAGGTTAAAGGTCAAGGCTGAAGTCACTTCTGCCAATTACAAGCTCTGTGATCTTGAAAAAGCCATTCAGTCTCCATTGGCCTCAATTTCCACACATGTAAAACAGAGACAATCATACTACCTCCTATGGTGGGCTGAGGTGAGGAGCGTATTAATGAGACACAGACTGCAGGATGAGGATGGCACCTCACATGCCTGCCTTCTCCCTCCAGCTGCCCACAGTGCCCCTAGTCATGGTGGCACCCTCCGGGGCACGGCTGGGTTCCTCACCCCACCTGCAGGCACTTCTGCAGGACAGGCCACATTTTATGCACCAGGTATGAACACTGAATGGGATGGGAGGATGAAGCAGGTGGAAGAACTGAGGGGAGGGGCCCCAAGTCAAGCGAAGCCATGACGCATGTGTGTCTGCAGCTCTCCACAGTGGATGCCCATGCTCGGACCTCTATGCTACAGGTGCGCCCTCTGGACAGCCCAGCCATGATCAGCCTCCCACCACCCACCGCTGCCACTGGAGTCTTTTCCTTCAAGGCCCGACCTGGCCTACCACCTGGTAACCCTCAGCCCAAACCCCATGGCATCACGAACCCCAAGAGTCCCAAAGACCTTGAACAAGTGCAGGTTAGACTGTTGTAAACTGCAGCCCTTTGGACGTCCAAGGGCTCAGATCTCAGTCATAGAAACTCTAGCCTCCCAAAAATGTCAAGTTCGGAACCTTAAAGACCTAACGTCAAAAGCACGGAACCAAAGGTTTTTGCAGTTAGTCAAAATGTCAGTACTTGCCACCATCTGTCTTTGAGTTGCTCTGCCAGAAGTTTTGGACTGTGGCAACAAGAAACTTCCCTGAGAGTCAGGATGTCAAGGCTCAGGAGGGGGAAGAGACCTTGTGGGCCAAGCTGTAGAACATATCCTGAACCTGCCTGCAGGAATCAACGTGGCCAGCCTGGAGTGGGTGTCCAGGGAGCCAGCACTGCTCTGCACCTTCCCAAGCCCCAGTGTGCCCAGGAAAGAAAGGTGAGTGGGAAGGCCCGAAAAGGACCCCCTCGCCCTCCTGTCCCTCCTTCCTGACACTCTCTGTTCCCCAGCACCCTTTCAAGCATGTCCCAGAGCTCCTTTCCTCTGCTGGCAAATGGTGTCTGCAAGTGGCCTGGATGTGAGAAGGTCTTCAAGGAGCCAGAGGACTTCCTCAAGTGAGTATCCTGGGCCCACCCTACTCCAGGGAAGCCTTGTTTTGTAGGCAGAGGTCTGTGCTACCAATCTCAACTCAGGCCTCCTCCTGACGGGAAGATAAGAAGTAAAGACCGAATCTGAGGGTTCAATCCCAGCTTCATCACACACCAACTGTGTGACCTTAGCCAAGTTACTTCACTCTTGTGGGCCTCAGTTTCCTCATGTGTATAATGGAGCACAATAGTAATGGTCCATACTGATATTTACTTCCATTTTACATATACGGGAACTGAGGCCAAAGAAGATAAGTGTCTTGATCAAGTTCCTAAGTTACACAGCTAGGATTTGAACCTATGCAGCTAGACTTCAGAATGCACACTCCTAACTCCTTTGCCCTGCTACCCCTCATGCCAATACACCATGTTATTGAGCCACACACCCTGGCTGGTCTAAATAGTTGTTGCTGTCTCTCCTGGGTCCCACTTGACAACCCCCCCCAACAAGGTTTCTGTATTTCTGTAACCATACTGACTGTTAGCAATTCAGCATGACCTGCCCTCTGCATGGCCAGACCTTTGTATGAGATTTCTCCTGCATCTAGAATGCCATTTCTGCTCTCACCAGTCCAGCTTACTCTCCACCCATCACCCACCCCAACATCATCTCCAACACCCACCCAGGCTCAGGGGGTAAGCTCAGGCCCTTGAGCAGGGCCTGGCAGCAGTAGATGCTGAGGGAATATGTGTGGGAAGAGGGACAGATGTGAGGGGGAATCTGAGGGACATAGGGGAAGAGGGCTGAGACTAAGGAGAGACCTCCCAAAGTCTGGGCCATCCCAGACCAGAACCTTGAGCCAGAACACTGAGCAATAGACAGTTACATAGAATCTTCTTCTACCAGGCACTGCCAGGTGGACCACCTCCCGGATGAGAAGGGCAAGGCACAGTGTCTCCTCCAGCGAGAGGTGGTACAGTCTCTGGAGCAGCAGGTAATGCCTGCATGGGACAGGTCGGGCAGGGGATGCTGGGCAAGCCTCATGCCTACCCTGTTCCAGGAACCAGCTCACCTTCAATGAGGGCTGCATACAGAGTGAAGGGTGCTCCTATGGATGGCCACAGCCTGAGCAAGAGTGTGGCAGAACAAAGCCAGTTCAAAGACTCACTTTTGTGCCCATCCCCACAGCTGGTCCTGGAAAAGGAGAAACTGAGTGCTATGCAGGCCCACCTGGCAGGGAAAATGGCACTGACCAAGACTCCAGCAGTGGTGAGCTACATTGGGCCTGTGGGCCCAAGACTGCTGGGAGGCAGGGGAGGAGCACCTGCACACACAGGCCCTGGGCTGTGTAGCTTCTCCCCTCTCCCCAGCCCCATACACATCAGACCTAAAATTTTCTCCCCTCCACTTACAAAGCTTCAGCCTCTACAATCCTGAAATAGCATGCTCCTGAATTTCCATAGGCACAGCACATAGCCTAACACCTAGGAAGGCAGGCTGTGTACCTCCACAGCACTAGCTTCGTAACTTGCAGGGCTGCATATCTAGATTTCAGGACTGCAACCTCAGAGTTCCAAAATGTAGGGTCCTTTATTATTACATGGGTCTCATGTTCATGAAGCCTGCTCCAGGAGCCAGGCACTGTCTCAGAGAATTCTGTAGTGTTAACTTACTCAAACTTAAGGCTGCTGTAAGGTAGTGTCCACGATCATCCCCAATTTGCAGATGAAAACTGAGGCCAGGAGGGTTTAGTTTACTCTCCCAAAGTCACAGTTGGGTGCTAGAGGAGCCCAATTCAGCACCAGCTCATGACTACAGCATCTGTGATTACACATAGTACTGATGCCAATATTCTTAACAAATATATCCCATGTTGCTAATGGGATTGATTCTACATCAGACTAGAATTAAGGTGAAGGTGCCCTTGCTCTTGAAAACACTGATTTAGCCAGATGCAGGGATGTACCAACCGCAGTCCCAGTGAGCCCATGAGTTCAAGGCTGCCTGGGCAGTGTAACAAGACCTAGTTTCTTTAATATAAATAAAAACAGTGATGTAAAAATAAAGGGACAAGCTTAAGCCTTTGGATCACCAGCCTCTCCTGCCTTTTCCAGGTGTCATCTGACAAAGGGTCCTGCTGCATTGTAGCTGCTGGCACCCACAGCAGTGGTGTTCCAGGATGGCCCAGCCCCCAAGAGGCCTCCGATAGCCTGTTTGCTGTGCGGAGGCATCTCTGGGGCAGCCATGGAAATGGCACCTTTGCAGGTGAGAGTGTTCCATGCCAAGATCCTAACCCCAAGCTCCTTATCTCACCTGCCATGTGCTATGGAGGGGTGGAGTTGCAAAGGAGCTCTGTATTGCACCCACACACACACTACCCAGACTTCTGAAAATCCACCTGCTTGTAAAAGCTGCTTCTCTGGATTTCCATAATCCAAAAGCCTCCTATTATGGCCACAAATCTCTAACCCTGTCTCCCTTGAGGACTGGAGCCATGCCTCCCCTGCTTTGAGTTTCTGATATCTCATGTAGCCATCAGCAGAGGGAGAAACCTAACCAAGTCATTGTTTTTTTTTTTTTTTTTTTTAAACTGGAGATCGAACTCATGGCCTCATGCTTAATAGACAGGTGCTTATGCCACTGAGCTAAATCCCCAGCTAACTAAGTCATTCTTAAGGACCCTTCCTTCCTCACCCCCACACCATCAAGGAAAATTGGGACAGAGTCACCCAACTTTACTAATCCCCTGCTGTCCACCAGGCATGGGCTGAGTCTAACAGGGGTCAGAACCCCTGGGTATCATCCTAACCCTGTCAGTTTGCCACTCGCATGCCTTTGTTGTACAAGTGACTTCACTCTTCTTTAATCTTGGGGAGAACCACTTTGGCAAGGGTGATTCAAAAAGGACTGACACAACTTTAGGTGCTCAGCAAACAGTGCCAGTGTGTGACTGCAGACCTGGGTGTCAAGGATAGGATTTCAGGCATGCAGACTCATATTGTAGAGGAGGGTGGGACAGGGAGTGAGGTCCTGGGTGGGGCCTAATTCATCCCCATTTGCTGCCAGAGTTCTTTCACAACATGGACTACTTCAAGTTCCACAACATGCGTCCCCCTTTCACCTACGCCACCCTCATCCGCTGGGTAAGTAGGGTAGCTCTGGCTCTAGGAGGTGAGAAAGAAGCAATGAGCCTACCTCTCAAACTGCTGTCTCCCTCCAAGTGCCCTCATTGTGGGCTCCTCCACTCACAAAGCCCTGAGGGGCCCCAAACCATGCTTCAAATGCAATCTCGCCTGCTGGCTTTACCCCTGACCTTTCCCAAACCCAAACCCAAATCCAAATGTAAACCACTAGCCCAGCCAGTGTGAGCCCAGCCAATTTTGAGCCTAAACTCACTACTTTGCAGATGTTCACCCTACTTGTAATCACACTCCTGATCCCATATCTCAACCTCATCTAACCCTGTCCCCAATTCTTTACCCTACCCCAATTCTACCCCCAAATCAGACAGCTCAGGATAGACCACTGCCCCTCTCAGTCCTTACTCTGAGGGGACATTCTTACCACAGCCTCTAAGCCAGTGGTGGCAAACCTATGGCACATGTGCTGCAGTGGGCTGTTTGTAGCATTGAAAACTATAAGCTGGGTGTGGTAGTGAATGTCTATACTCCCCATTTGAAAGGCTGAGGCAGGAGGATTGCTTTGAGTTCAAGGCCAGATTTGGCTCCATAGTTAGTGCAAGAGCAGGCTGAATTACATAGTGAGACCCTCTCTCAAGAAAGAAACTCTAATGAAAGGTCTGCCATCACTGCTCTAGGCCATCCTGGAGGCTCCTGAGAAGCAACGGACACTCAATGAAATCTACCGTTGGTTCACACGCATGTTTGCCTATTTTAGAAACCATCCTGCCACGTGGAAGGTGAGTAGCTCTGAAAGTGGCAGTGGCTGAGATGTCCTCAAGTACAGCTCAGTAGCAGGCAGAACTGGGGCTGGACTCCAAAATGGAGAAGAGGGGCAGGAGGTTGGTGCTGGTGGGGTCTGCTGGGCTCAGTGGATTTTGCCTATCCCTGCCCTGGCCCAGCTGGTCTTCCTTCCACAGAATGCCATCCGCCACAACCTGAGCCTGCACAAGTGCTTCGTGCGGGTGGAGAGCGAGAAGGGGGCCGTGTGGACCGTGGACGAGTTTGAGTTCCGCAAGAAAAGAAGCCAACGGCCTAGCAAGTGCTCCTACCCTCCGCCAGGCCCCTGACCTCAAACCAAGGAAAGAAAGGATGGAAAGGGTCGAAACTGGGGGCAGAGGTGGTGGGGGCAGGGCTGACAGGCCCTGGATATGTCCACGGAGACCAAGAAATGAGGTATCCACTGTCTCCCCGCCACAGCCTCTGCTCTCCAGCTTAGCTGCCCTCCAGGATCTTATTTTCTGCCCCAAGGCTGTTCAGAGGGTCTCCAGTCCGAGCCCAGCCCCTGCCTCCACCACAGTCCCCCAACATGGCCTCTCACAACCAACCACACACACAGCTGCCTCAGTCACCCTCACAGATGATCTCAGAGTGGAAAAGTCACACACAGTCACAATCCTGTCCCCTAAACACACACAAACCCTAAGACACAAAGAGCTTGCCTTGGTATACTCAAATGTCCTCAATGCTATATAGTCACATGAAGTCATGTTCGAGCACAATCCTGTCAACTCACATTCCCAAAAGCACAAAGCCACATTCACTCTCTGGGCCCATGGATGTGAAGTCATGCAAAGGTGCGCCCAGGCCCCTGCAGATGCAGCATCAGTACCCTCCCGATCACAAGTTACAGAAAGCCACACAGACACTTAACTGGTCACATGTAACTCCCAACACATGCTCACTCAGACATGGCCCATTAGTACTCGTCTGCATATCTCGCACTTGTGCACACACATGCACACTCATAGCTCCCTAGGGTGTCCCCTCTGAGTCCACAAAGACACACTGATTCACCAAAAGATGCTGGCTATCTCACTTGACAATCACCCACTCCTTCCCCTGAGCCCTGATCCATGCCTCAGCTAGACTGCAGAAGAGCCCCTCCTTTATTTGGGATCCAAGGCCCCAGCCCCCGGTGCCCTCTCCAATAAACTGTAGCCAATTCTACACTCTGGGCTATCACCCCAGATTGGGATTGAGGTCAGATGGGGAGGCATCTGGGTGTAAGGCCTCAATGGGAGAAACTGGATGGCAAACAGAACAGCTAGCACAAGCACTGTCTCCATTACTCCAAATCCCTGCTGATGGCTGGAAGGATCTCCACCGGGGAATCCTCAGGCCTCCCGAACACGGCCCAAGAGGCCAGCATTCTCTTGGCGGAGGGCTCTGTAGTCCTCACAGATCTTCTCCAGGTTGCTGAGGGTCTTCTTGCTCATCTCCGTCTCGATCTAAGGCAATGTGATGCATATTCCCTCAGCACATGCAGAGCCACTGCCGGGCTGCCGCTCAGTACCCCTTCCATGGCAGCCACTTGGACCCCTCCCATCCTGCAACAGCAGCCTGCTTCTTCCACTGCCAGGCCTTGGCATATGTGGTTCCCTCTACCTAAGGCACCCACAGCTCTAAGAGGCAGGCATGAGGACCCTCAAGGTAGAAGCCGAGGCTTTGGTTACACTACTGACCTATCCCAAGTCCCAGGCACAGACACTAAGGAGCAAGGCTAAGCCTCTAGCCATGGACTACGTCCAGTCCCACAGCTATTCCTCATAAAGCAAGGAGCTGTTCCCCTGGTGGCCTGTCCCCCTTTTACCTCGAAGTCTTACCTGCTCCTCAAGGTCTCGAACCTCCCTCATTATAGTGCCTGTGTCCTCAATGGTCTGGATGAGCTGGCTGCAGTTCTGGGGACAGCAAAAGCCAAAAGCTTGTACCCAAACCAGCTACTCCCACCCAGTCCCCAGGCATGCTGCCCTCCTCACCTCATGCAGGGCAGCTAGATACTTGTAAGCCTTCCGAACAGCATCATCCTTCTTGGCATCCTGACCAGACAGAGGGAACCTTAAAGACAGCAGCAGAGTCCCCCCTCCCCCACCACCTCCATGCTACCACAGGGCCACCCTATCCTGCCCAATCAGAGCAGAGCCAGGCCCCAGGATCAGTGTGTTCTTGGGGCTCACAAAGGGCCCAGGCCCTGCTGGGGCCAGCCCCATGCCAACCTGCACATGGACTGGCCTGTCTCGCACCTTGAACACAAGCTCATCAGTCACTGCAAACGTCCGGTCCAGCTTCCCAGAAAGGGAGTTGATCTCCTTCTGAAGCTCCTTTGTGTCAGACAAGATCTGGCAAACACCAGTGAGGCTGTGAGCCCAAGTCGCTAAGGCAGGGTGACTGGCTTAGTGAGGGTACTCAGGCACATGCACTCAGGGCATGTGTCACTGCATCCAGGGTGACTGGGGTAGACTGTGTGTGACTGTTCCGTGTCAGGGAGAGGCTGGAAAGCTCTACCTATTAGAAGTCATATACCACCTCTCGCCTGTCTGCCCATAGGACCTCCCTGCCAGAGTGTGGCATACCTTAGTGATCTCTTCCTTCTGTTTCCGGATGTTGCCCACAATCTCCAAGATGCGCTGGGTGTAAGCTAGTCGGGATACGTCCCTTGGCAGAGTCTCCAGCTCTGACACCTAGGCAGGGGGGACACAGTGGGCACTGCCCTAGTACCACCACTCTCTACCCATCTAGCCTGCTACCTGGGGACCAGCATGGGCCTTACCAACTGCTTGTACACCTCTTCCTTCCTGCGGGCCTCTTCAGCAGCTGCCCGAACACTCTGGTGGAGCTCCTGAATTTCTGCCAGCCGTCGGGAAGATTCCAGCTGCCAGGAGCCCATGGTCAGAGGGCAGTAAGCAGAATTCAGTGACTGTCCCCTAAGAAAGCTCCAGACCTACTCCACCCACAGCCCAAGACCCCATTACCTACCTCCCTACAGTCCTGAAGCTTCCGGAGATGGCGGTATTCAGCAAGAAGTGGGACCCGGTGCTTTTCCCACTGACCTGCCAGGTGAATGACCCGCTGGGCACTGCTCTCCACCACAAGCTGGTGGGGGAGAAGAAGATATGTTACACAGGCTTGTCCCATCGAAATCTGCCCCTCTAGTCCAGCCACAGCCTTAGCACCAGCCCACCTGCAGCTTGGCAAGGTTGGCAGCCCCATCAGGCAACAGCTCCACCGCGCGGCTCTTCAGACGCAGGGCCTGCTCCCGCTCTGCAGTGCTCAGCTCACTCTGCCGACACTCATTCTCCACCTGTCACATACCATAGCCCCCAGCCCCAGTAAGCCCAAGCATCCCCACCCAGCCCAAGATCTCACATGTGACAACATGACCCCCTGGCCACTCCAGGCCCCTCTCTCTGTCCAGTACAGCGCTGATACCCAGGAGCCCTGTGGAGCTGACCAGCACCTGCCCACACAGCCCCCTCTTCCTCCACCAATGCCCGCAGACCTTCACAGCCACCACCAAAGCCTGACTAATGCCACAAGCTCTTTTAGGCCCACCAAGCCCCCAACCTCACATCTCCTTTTACCCCTACCAATTTTCCTGAACCCTCAAGAGCCCCAGAAGTCCCCATCCTACACATACACAAAGCCTGCTGATACCTGCTGACCTCTCACCCTGCTTAAGGCCCTATTTCTAATCCAGCTTCTCACCTGCATAAGGCTGATTCCCAGCGTCTTCATGTCAGCTTCAACCTCTTCCATGCTGCGGTTCACACCCTCCAGTTGCTCCCGAAGGGACTCAAGCTCCTGTTCCTGAGCTGCACGCATGTCCTTGGATGCACAGGCCAGTTGGGGTGGAAGTGTCAGGCCCAGCAGACAGGCAAGGGCCCAGGTCCATCCCCTCCACTGCTCTGCTCACCTGTTCAGGGTGCCGAGAAGTGGCTGGCATATCTGTCACCTGAGCTGTCTGGGCTTGGGGCTCCTAGGGGCATGAGAAAGGGCATCCTAGCTGTCAGGGAAGGCCTATCATGGCCTGGTCTCGGCATGCAGAGAACTCCCACAACGCTGTACCCACACCCACTCAGCTGCTCACAGCTGTTAAGCTGTGTAAAGGCATGGTCTGCAACATCAGGCCACATGGTTTGCTCCCAGGGAACCCTCCCTCGGCCTGACACAGCTACCCCAGATGCCCATGAGAAAGATGGGCTGCCACTGGGAAGTATCTAAAGAGAGAAGCTATACCCAGGGGAATATTAAGAAAAGATGGGATTTGTACCAGGAACACCACTGCCCCCTCACATCATTCCTACAATCTGCCCTTTCTCTATTGCAGTCCCAAGAAGCTAGGTAGTACTGGTGAACCTCTGGCATGTGTGCCACAGTGGGCTGTTGATTATCCCTGAAAGCTCTAAAGGAGTCACCATCACTGAGCTAGGAAAATCTCTGACACTCTCTCTCCATTGAAGAGTAGATCTACCCAGCAGGCACATAGGAACCTTCTGGAAAAAAGTGGCCTTCAAGCCTGCCACACCACATCAGCATCTCCATGTCCACTCAGGCCCACCCACCAGATGGAAGGTAAACTTCTCTGAATGTGTGAAGCGGGAGCCCTTGGGGGCACTGGTCCTGGCCCCAGCACCCCAGGCCTGTAGCAGCTCTCCCAGGTCTCGGGCTTGTGTGGAAGTCCCCGCTGGACCCCAGCTCTGGCGCAAGTATTCAGCCAGCTGCTTCTGCAGCCGCTGCCGTGGAGCTCGGGGATCCTCCTAGAAAGAGCAGGTAGGGAAATGGGAAGGTGTGGATGCCTGTTGACCCCAAGGACATGCCTCATCCAGGAGCCTCCCAACAAGTCCCACCCACCCTCCAATCTTTCCAGTGAGGCCCATTCCATCCCACTTCCCCGCCCCACCAGCCTGGGTGCTGCCTGAGGACAGAGGGTACCTCTTCCTCACAGCCGTGTCACTCTCCACCTACTCTCTCCCAACCTGGAGAAAGATGATGGAGAGAGAAGCCTGGAGTCCCCAAATCAGAAGGACACAGAAAGGATGTGCAGCACAGAACAGACAGAATCAAAGGCACCAGCCAAAGAAGGGAACAGAGTCAGAGAGAGAAAGGTAAAGGGGAGATAAGAACAGAGAGAGTTTTAAGAGAACTGGGGAAATCTGATTATAAACTCAGTATCAGATGATACGAAGAGATCACTGTTAATTTTGCTAGGTGTAAAAATGGCACTGTGACTATATTAAAAATTAAGTTTACTATGAGCGAAGAGATGTAGTTAAGAGTTGAAATAATAACTAGGATGTGCTGGATTTTGGTGCTAGAGATGTGTGTAATACTAGGGATAAGCCCAGGGCCTTTGACCTAAGCTACACCTCCACCAGCCTTTATCTATTATTTATTTAGAAACAGGGTCTCACTGAGTTACAAAGCAGCCCAGGCTATGCTCAAACTAGCAATCTTCTTGCTTTGGCTTCCCAAGAGTGCTGGGTCTTTAGAGTATCACCACACTGGATTTGCTTTAAATAATGGAGAAAAAAAGTTGAGGGACAATACAGAAAGACTGAAAGGTAGTAAACATAATTCATTAGACTATTTTCTCTACTCTTATGTTTGAAAATCCTATAGGGATTTTTAAACTTATAGATTTTAAACTTACAGAGTTTAAAAATGACAGGAACTAAAATGCCAGCCAGGGCTATGGTGGCACACGCCTATAATCCTAGCACCCAGGAGGCTTAGGCAGGAGAATCACTGCAAGTTTGAGGCCAGCCTGAGTTACAAACTAAATTCAAGGCCAGCCTGAACTGCATAGTGAGACCTTGTCTCAAAAACAAAAAAGAAAAAAATGGCAGCCAGGAAGGTGGCGACAGAGAGAGACAGTCACACATGTGGACAGAGGGAGAGGGGAACAGACAAAGAGGTGGGCAGAGAGGAAAATGAGAAGAGGGGACACATAGATAGACAGGAATATGGATAAATAAAAGAGGTGGACACATAGTAAGGGGACAGATAAAGTGGAAAGAAGGGGAGGAAGAAATAAAGGACAAAAAGGGACAGACGCAGAGGTAGACAGAGGGAAAGACAGAAACAGCATAGGAATGAAGAAACAGAAAGTGTGAGAAAGGGACAGCAATGCCAAAGAGTGAGAAAGACAGTGACAAAACCTAGAGACACAACCAGTAAGCACTGTGACAAGTGCAGAGACAGCGAGAGTGAGAGGCTCGGGGACAGGAAAGGTGGCAAAGACAGGGAGGAAGGCAAATAACTGTGACCACTCTGAGGGTCAGAGACGGAAAACCCTGTCACTACCCCATGTTTTAGAACAGGGGGTGAGACCTTGAGAGGGACACGGACTTGTCCCCAGTTCCTTATCTCCCTAACTCCTATGTCCTTTCAGGTGGGGTTGGGTAGATATATACAGAGAGGAAGCAATGAGAGAGGAGGAACACGTGGGGACAGGACGGGGAGAGGGCCAAGAGGGAACACAGTCACTGCCGCACGGAGCAGGAGCTGGGCAGCAGGGAGCCCAGCACCAGGCTGTACCTGGGTGGGAAGGCGGGGCGCCCTTCGGAGCCAGTCGTCATCCCCTGGACGGTCCCGGCCCACATGCTGGCTCAGCTGCATAGCGTGGTTTTCAAGGAGTGAGGCCACTCTCCCAGCAGGCACTGCCACCTGCATGGGGACTGGCAGCAGCAGGGGACTCGCCTGGAACTCCCGAGGCTCTGGAGACAAGAACAAGTCAGCCACACTGCACCTCGACCCTCCTCCCTGGGCCCCCCCATAGTGCAGGCTCACCTCCTCTAGAGCTCAACTCAGGCATGACCAGACTGCTGGCATGGAATGGATGCTGGAAGGCCGAGCCCTATAAGAACAGCAGAGTCACCAGTGGGAGAAAGCTAACAATTGCATGGGACAAGGCAAGCCAAGCAACAAGGACCACAGTCAGACAGGAATTAGGCATCCCACCTGGAAGTGCTGTAACTTGGGAGTGCGAAGGAGAGGTGGGACCCAGGGCAGGGTCAGCTGGTCTCGTATTTGGCTCCCAATGGCCCGGAAAAGAATAGCCAAGTCACCTATGGAGGCATGAGGGTTTATCAAGTGACAATGTTGCAAATCCAAAAGTGCCCACCGTGGGAAACCAGCCAAGGCTTCTGACCCCTCATCCATAGAAACAGATCGACCTAGCTAACATTTCCATATGCAGTCATTCAACAAACACAGCACAAACTAGGTATCAATCACTGTTTTAGACACAAGAGAGAGCTACCCCAGGGAACAAAATGATAAAGGTCTCCATCCTCATGGACACAACAAGCTAGCAGAGGACAGAGTTCATGAATATGATCTCAAATATGATCCAGGACAGTCAAGTGATGCAGGAAAGAAGGTCTGAAAGGAGGCTGGAATGCTCCATAAGTAGTCTAAGGAAGCCCTCCCTGAGCTGACATCCAAGCAGCAACCCCATGGGACCAAGCAGTGGCATGTAAGAAGACCTAGGGATGAATAGTCCAAAGACACAGACATACCGAGGAAGCCCATGTGGCAAAAGTGGAGGGAGTGAGAGGAGGGTGCTGGGGAGTCGGGGAGTCAGCTCAGCCCCCGGCCCTGTGCCACCTGCCCTACACCTGCCACCCAACCCCCAATCTACCATGCATGTCCTGAAGACACTGCCACCTCTAACCTGCAACCTTCTCACCACCTCTCTGTCCCTGTCACCCCAAGAACATTCTCTCTCACCTGCAGGCTGGTCTGCATCCTCAGAAGTGTCAGTGGGCAGCCGCTCAGCCAGGAAGAGAAGCAGGTCCCGGAGGTCCGGTTCACTGGGGTAGAGGAAGTTCTGATAGCCAAGTTCCAAGGGGTAGCCCAGGTCCTGCAGGTTATCAATATTAATCAGGTGATAATGCTGGGCTTTTGGACATAGCCCCAGCAACCAGGCAGGCAGAAGGCTCTTTCCGATCACCACCTACCACCCTTCCAGCCAGGCCTCACACTTCCAAGTGGCTGGAGGGAGCCCCAATTCCTGTCTGACTATATCTGCCCCATCAAACATCTGCTGCTCAGGTCTTCTGGCCTCTATTACCAGTGAACCCCACTATACTCATCCCAGATGCTAAGATCTTGTTCTCCTTGAGGGGACTCTGCAAAGCTTCTGAGGCCTGCAAAGGCAGCCCCAGGGCAATTATAGTCAATGGTATAGAACTAGAAAGGAGAGTAAAGCTCTAGTCTTACTGTGACTGAAAATTCAGAGGCCACAAAAAAGAAGATGGATTTCTGCCAAATGTAAAGAAATAATTTCAAGAAAAATATAATTACCAGAGTCAAAAGAATAATGACAAGTTGGGAAAATTATTTGGAGCCTGTATAATGGGCAAATAGTGAATCTACCTATTACACAAGTAGGTAGATAAATATACACAGGCAGGGCTAGGGGTGTGGCTCAGCAGTAGAGCTCTTGCCCAGCACATATGCAGCCCAAGGTCCAATCCTCAGCACTGAAAAAGAAAGGAGAAGGAAAGAAAACAAAAAAAGAAGAAAGAAACCAAAAAGACCAGCAACACAACAGTACAGAATGAGATGACTGAGGGCGCCAGATGGGGCTGGAAAACTGGCCTGGAGAGAAAGAACACCCTGCTCTATCAGAGCCACAAGTGGTGCAGATCTGTGTGGACCCTGACAGCAGACTTCCTGGCTTGGAACCAAAGCTCTGCCTCTCACCTACTACGTAACCTCAGGCCAATCACTCAACCTCATTGTGATATGCTTTCTTCATCTAAAAAAAAAACCTACCCCATAAGGTTATTTCAAGAATTAAATGAGTTACAACAGTGTAATCACAGTGTCTGGAACACAGTATTCACTCAAAAGCGTGATTATAAATGTACATGTACATTATAAATCGTCATTATAAATGTACATGTGTTCTGGGTCACAGTATGAGTTGTCTTTATTTTGGAGAGTCATAGTCAAAAAGTGTGAAAAACCACTGGCTTTCAAGCTAATTTACTTTGGTTTTTTTCTGACATCTTCAATCAAAGAGTTGTGACTGATATGGAAACTTGTTCCAAGAGTGGAGTATGTATAGTGGCTGATGCCAAAATATGGAGTTGTCTGCCATGCATAAACAGGCAGCAGGAACAGGGCAGAAAGCAGCAGTGCTGCGTTAGAGAGGCCCATTTTGTCTGCTTCTGAGAAACTGAGGCACCTGCAGCTCCTAAGCACTGTAAAAGGCAGATTCTCTGCTGTGCACCAAAGTCAGTGTGAGCTAGGATTGGTACACACAAAATGGCAGACAGCACTGAGAGCAGAAAAGACCAGAGAACGTGAGAAAAGTTGGCCCACCACCTTGACACCTCCCATTAGGCAGTCTCTCTGGGCCTAAGAAGACATAACTGCCCCCTCAGAGTGCTAACCTCCAGGACACAGTTCCAGGCCAAAGGACAGGCTGTCTTCCTCAAGAAGCCACCAACACCCCCCAGACAGAAGGATCTGGGAAGCTAGGTAAACCTGATAACCAAGGGATGGGCAGAACCAAGAGGTCTGCTGGTAAAAGAAACTGCACACATGCGGCCCTAACCCTAACTCCCTCATCTAAATGGGGAGTTCTCATTGGAGTTGGCTTACTGACCCTCTGCCACACATACTTATGGGGTATGCTGGAAGCATTTACACTGACTATGCAGCCACAAGGTGCTGGAATGCAAGCAGCCAGTCATGCTTACCCATTAACAGTAATGCCACTTACACAAACTTACACATCCAGCTATTCATATGTTAACTCAATCTTTGCTGCATGCACATGTGTGCATATGTGCACTGGGGATTGGACCCAGGGCCTCATGCATGCAAAGCACATGCTCTGAAACTGAGCTATACCCCCAGCCCCTTAACTCATCTTTTAATCCTCACAGCAGCCCTACGTGATAGGTATAATTCTTACACCCACTCCACACTTACAGAAACAAAATCGAAGAAGTTAAAAGATTGACTCAAAATTAGAGAACCAATGAGCCACAAGGAATGGCATTACTTGAAGGGTTTTTGTTACTGTTTGTAGTACTAAAGATTGAATCCAGAGAGTGCTAAGCTACATTCCCAGCCCCGCTTTTTTTGACAGAGAGTCTCACCAACTTGTCCAGGCTGACCTCAAACTTATAATCCTCCTGCTTCAGCCTCCTAAGTAGCTGTGCTTACAGGTGTGAGCCATCATGCCTGGTTGTGAGCTTTCTTTTTATATATATTGGGATACTGAACCCAAGGATGCTCTACCACTAAGCTGCATCACCAGCTCTTTTTAATTTTTTTTTTTGGTTTTGGTTTTGGGTTTTTTTTTAATTTTTAAATATTATTATTAGTAGGTATCTGTCATATATATCAATCACAGTCATCATAGACAATTTGTACCTATACATAATATATTTATTTTTTATTCTGAGAAAGGGTCTCACTAAATTGCCCAAGAAAGACTCAAAGTCACAATCCTTCTGCCTCAGCCTACGGGCTGGGATTCCAGGAACAGTGGTACATGCCTAGGTGGAAGCTCTTGATCCTAATAACTGGACACAACTCTAGACTTGGGACGCATAAGTACTCCATTGGAAAGGTGCTTTACTTGACCTAGCACAGAGACTCTTTTGGAATTTTTATAAGAGTCATGTTGCATGTAGTTGCTACATGGGACTGTTTTAGTTGACCAGCCTACTTTCATTTGGATAATCATCTCTCCCCCAACTTCATTGGACCCTGAAAGAACATCCAATCACAGTGTCCTGTAGGATGACCATGTGACTGAAACTGGGCCAATCATTGCACATATTGATTGGTTTCAGAGTGAGCATCACCCAACCAGGGCCTTTCCTGGACTGGTAAAGGTATGCTGAAGAGGAAGGGTATACTTTGATACTAAGTTTAAAATGCAGAAGCTAGGGACAGCTGAATCAACTTATAAACTGGATCAAGTCATTTAATCCTCCTAACAACCTTACTTTTATAATCTGCATTTCACAAATAAGAAAACTGAGGCCAGAGCCATGTACAGCACAGTCCTGTAACTCTGAAGTAGGGGCTGAAGTAGGAAAATTATGAGCCAAGACCAGCCTGAGCTGCATAATAATAATCTGTCTCAAAATAAAAGAAAGAGGGCCAGGGTTTAGCTTAGCAGCTCAAGTGCCTGCCTGACAAGTGTGATGTGAGTTTAATCCCTGGTATCAAAAAAAATTCCAATGAAAAACAGGGCAGTGGATATAGCTCAGCTCAGCGGCACAACGTCTGCCCAGCAAGCACGAGGTTGTGATTTGGATTAAAAAAAAATAAACAACAAACAAACAAAAAGAAAGAAGAAAAAGAGGCTCAGAAGGGTTATGGTAATACATTCAGCAAGTGGTGAACCTAATGTCTCAACATCTCAACTACTGCAATTTGGCTACACAGTCAGCAGCTTTAACCACTAAGGAGTGCTAAGGCACAAAAAGAAGTGGCAGAAAAGAAAGTCAACAGTTTCAAAGGAACACAGTTACTTTGTGAAGGAGGAAGGAAGATCATGTGTACTGGGAGGAGGGCACTCACCATGCAGGCCTGAGCCAGGCTCATGGCCAGGCGGAACCGGGCAGACATAGCCACGGGCAGTAAAGGGCTAAGGCCAGAACCCACCGCAGGGTTGATCACACGCAGGCAGCGGACCACGGCCTCTACAACCAGCTCAGTGGTGAAGGCTCGTAGGGTCTGCACATCTGGAGGGACTGCCCTGAAGAAAGAGGCAGGCTCAATCGGGGAAGCAGTCAGGAAACAGGGATCAAGGTGCCCCATACAAACTTCCAGAAGCCCTAGAACTGAGGTGGCCTAGGGAAGTGTCCATATTCAAACAGATCCTAGGTGTTAGTGACTGTGGCTTCCATTGAGCAAACAAAGAATCACCTAAACCCTCAGGTTCTAAGAGCTTGTGGGGGGAATGGTAGACGGAAGGAACCCAAGTTCAGAAAAATCTCAAATTTCCCCTATGCTTGAAAGCCTCAAATTTCTGGTGATGGTGAAAGAAAGGGCCCTGGCAACATGGTCTCTGTATTTCTGGGTCCCCAGATACCATGTTCCCTGTATGTCAGAGACACCTAGATACTGGAGCTGCTAGGGTTTAGAGAAGAATACACGTTGGGAGGCTGGGGTTTTCAGAGTTTGAAATGTCAGACTCACTGAGTGTCAAGATCCCTGGACATAAACACTTTCTAGTTTCAACCTATACAAAACTTAGGCACCCAAGATGTTTGCACCCTGGGCTTTTAGGGCTCTCAAATTGGAGGAGTCCTTGTTTGAGTAAAGTCCCAAGTGACTGGGAAACTAAGTTTGAAGGTTCTTAAGTATCCAGTATCAGAGTTTTGGGAGTTCCCAAGTGTCAGGGTCCTAGAGTTTTAAGTTCCCTGATTCTCACATGGTAGGTTATCTCCAGAAATAAGGGCCCCAGAGTATTTATGTCAAGATTCACAGATCTCAGAATGCCAGGTCTTGAGGTTCCAAGATTATAAGGTCTCAGGGTGCCTGGGTCTCAGAGTTTGGATTTACCAAATATAGAGATCAAGAGACTTATGAGAACCCCGATGTCCGTGGTATGTGCATGGATCCTGGAAACTGGAGTCCTACATATCAAGGCACCAGGTTTTAAGGTTCCCGGGGGAGGTGGGGGAGCCGCTGGTTTTGAAGTCCCGGATGTGGGCAGCTGGAAATGAGTAGGGACTGGGTACTTACGTGCCAGCTTGGCGCAAGGAATGGATAAGGATTCGATCTGCCTCCTCCATGGTGAAGCCGAATCGGAATTGAGGTCTGGGTCCAGGACAGGATCAGAGAAAGTGGGTGCAGTTGTTGGGAGACCTGCTTCGTACTCGCGGTGACAGAACGTCATAGGCAGCGAGGGGACAATTGGGAAGTGTAGTTCCCAGAGCTATTGGGCTGGCGCAGGATGCCTCGACAGGGTGTGAATATGCGCGCGCAGGCCAGAGTGCGCAATGGCTGCTGGAAGGTGTAGTTCTTCCTCGTGCACTTCGTCGGACTCTTGCAAAATAAAAAGAACCTGAGATTAGAGAGGAGGGACAGAGAAGAACTTTGTTTAAAGCCGCATTCATTATCTAGACTATAAAAGCGCACGAGAAGCGTATAATACCAGCACTCCAGGAGGTTGATACAGGAGGAGCGCAGTTCCAGCCTAGCCTGGGCAACTTAGCGATTTAGCGAGACTCTGTCTAAAAATAAAGGGGGAGGAGGGTGCTGCAGGTGCAGCTCAGCGCGAAGTCCCTGAGTTCGAGCCCCAGTAACATACATACACACAAGCATACAAATGAAAAGCAGAAATTTTAACACAAAGCAACTCCTTCCTTCTCTTTCCTCATCTATAAAATAATACTATCGGCCAGTTGAGGTTACACACGCCTGTCATCCCAGCCCTCAGGAGGCTGAGGTAGGAGGATCCCTGAGAGTTCAAGGCTAGCGTGGGCTACATAATGAATTCAAGGCCAACCCGAACTACATAGTGAGACCCTGTCTCAAAAAAAAAAAAAAAAAAAAAAAAAAAAAGACTACTTTTGTTGGTACGGGGAATTGAACTCATGACTTCACATTTGCCAGGTAGGGGCTTAAGATGTTGAGCTAAACCCCCAGCCCAAAAAGACTACTTTTTATAAAGAATATTATAGTATCTCCTTTCTAGGATTAAAACACAATCACTTAAAGTAGGTTGTGCTATATGGCTAACACATAGTACAGTAACAAAGCACCATTCAAATTAATTACCAGTCTTCATGCATTCAGTGTTTCATTCTATTTTTTTGTGTGTTTTCACTTTAATATGGTCTGCATATCAGTACACTCTGAAGAATAATGACACAGCAAAAACTATTTAACCACTACCCAATAGTGCTGTTTTTCAAAAATCAGGTGTTTGCATATGCGACTCAGTTTCTGAACTATATTCTCTTCTCTTAATTATTGTAGCTTTATAACAAGCTTTGGCATTTAAAAAAATGGTGAACTCTCCAATGTAGTTCTTTTTCAAAGGATTTTGACTTTCCCAGGACCTTCGTATACACATTTCAGAAGCAATTTGTCAAATTCCATGGGAAAAAAAAATCTTTTGAAATATTTGTTGGATTGCATTAGATTTCTAATTTCTTTGGGAAGAACAGATATCCTCTCAATATTGAGTATTTCAAAGAGTAAACATATATTTCTCTATTTTAGGCCTCCTGCAATATTTGATCTTTTTGCCACAAAGATATTGCACATATGCTAGGGGGTTTTTTGTATGTACTTCAAATTTCAGATACTACTGGAAAACAATATTATTTTTCTTATTTTAGTTTCTGATTTCTTGCATCTATTTGGTAAACAGTTAATCAGTGTCTATTCTGTTGTCAGGCTCCAGCCCACAAACATCCCATTTGTGCCCCTGCTCACTCTCCTGTTGGACATTGTTATTGCCCCGCCCTGTGACCTTAATCTCTCCAAAGCTGGGGGAGTATAGGGGGTTGTGTGCAGATGGCCCTTCAATCTCCAGAGGAGGATGTCGGAATCTGAAGGCGGGAAAGGTGAGAGCAGCCATCCATCCCTATAGACCCTTGGAGCAAGCCTGGGCTCTGCTCCACCCCTGTCCCTCTAGTCCACCCACTGCCCACCTGGACCCTACCCTGAACAAAATCACATCACCCTTCTCCCATCCCAGCTGGTCCCAAACACAGCGTCTTCATCACCTGAGCCCAGACACTGGGGCTGACCCAGATTCTGCCCTCCCCCAACGAACTTAATTTCCAAGTGAAACCCAACCTCAATCCTGACCCTGACCCCTATCCTAGTGTCCATCCCAACTCTAACTCCAAAGCCAGCCTCAAACCTTACCAACCAGAAGGCAACTCCAAGTTAGAGTCCAAACCCTACCCTGGTTACAGACCTTTCTGTGAACTCTGAAAGTCACCTAACCTCAACCTTGATCCCTAGGTGCCAGCATTCTTAGTGACTGTGGTCTGTGATTTTCCAGAGAGAGGATAGACATTTTCTTAAAAAGCAAGGAAAAACAAATATAGAGCAAAAACACACCTGATAGCAGTCCTGAGTTCTAGAGTCAGACTAACTGGGTTTCATTGCTGATTCAATCACTTCAGTAGGTCATTTAACCTTTTTTCCTCGATTTCCTCATCTGCAAAATGGGACTAATACTATATGCCAAACATTCCTGTAAGTAATGAACTCAATTCTCACGACACCCTTTTAATGTAGAACCTCTTATTATCATCCTTATTATACAGAAAATGAAATAGAGGCTCAGAGGGATTACCTAATTTGTCCAAGGAGACACACAGCTACCAAACAGTATAGCCAGGATTTATACTCAGACGCTTATTTTCTCCCAATCTTGGGATCTTAATCAGGCCAATGTACTACCCCTCAGAAGCCTAAACAAAGCTATGTGAACTGGAAATAGCCTCAGACGAAAAATGCAAAACTTAAATCCCAATCAAAACTCAACTTCAGCCCTAATCTTGATCCTAATTCTAATACCAGCTCATTCCAATGCCCAGGCCTGACCCCAAATCTCAGCCAAACTCCACTCCCACCTATAGGCACTGCTCAAAATCCACCACTCAAATTTAACCTTAAATTTCCCTACAGTTATAAACTGAAGCCCGTCACAAGACAATTTAAACTCTATCCCAAATCAAATCCTGCATCATCTGGAAATGTACCCTCACCTCCTCTCCTATAAATTCTCATTCCACCCCCAATATTAATCCCAACACTAACTCTTGCCCCCATCCTTAACCTGAGTACCTCCCAACTCTCCCTAGTTTCACATATTCCTCTCTCCTTTCAGAGGGATGGGATCAGGTAGGAAGCAGCGATAGTTGCCCTAATATCCTGCCACTTCCTGACTGTTTCTCCACACAGATGCGACCCCAGATCCCAGTCCAGCCAATGGAGCAGGACCTGGTCCTGAGTGGGGGCTGTGCCCTGGGCCTCCAGCTGTGGAGGGTGATAGTGGGGCATCAGGCCTGGGGACCCCTAGACGAAAGACTCAGCACAGTAAGCACAAGATGGTGGCAGTGGCCAGTGCCCAGCGGTCTCCCAGGGCTCTCTTCTGCCTCACTCTGGCCAATCCTCTTCGGCGGTCCTGCATCAGCATCGTGGAGTGGAAGTATCCTGAAAGGCCAGGAGCTACGCTCAGGAATAAGGATAACCAGGGTCCCAGGAGTCAAGGATTGGGTTAGGGCTGAAATGGAGGAGAGCTGAGGTCATCAGGGAATCAAAGGCCAAGAGCTGGGTTTGGAGAAAAACCAGTTAGGGTCACCAGGGGTTCAAGGGTCAAGGACTGGATCAAAGCAAGAATTGGAGTTGATTATGGCTTGAGGAGGGGTGTCGAACTCAAGGCCTTGGTCAGGGCAGGGTTTAAGAATGTCAGATCCACTCATTTTTAGGTCAAAGGTCAGCATTGGGTGGGGTGGGTCTCTAAGGAATGCGAGGTTTCCAAGCCACTCTTTCTGGGTCCTTGACCGTGTCCACCTGAGGCCCTTTGACATCCTCATCCTGCTGACCATCTTTGCCAACTGTGTGGCTCTCGGGGTCTACATCCCCTTCCCAGAGGATGACTCCAACACTGCCAACCACAACCTGGTAAGGCCCTGTGGGTCTCAGCCACATGTAGCCCCAGTAGAGCTAGAATGGAGGAAAGCTGAGGTCATCAGGGATCAAAGGCCAAGAACTGGGTTTGGGGGAAAACCAGATAGGGTCACCAGGGGTTCAAGGGTCAAGAACTGGGTCAAAGCAAGAGGTGGAGTTGATTATGGTCATTTATGATTATGCCATACCCTGCTCTGTCCCACCCAGCCCGGCCCTCCCGCACCACCTCCTTACTCCTAAGGGTCAAAACCCACCCCCAAATAATTCTCGGACACCCCTCTCCCGGCTCCACCACAGGAGCAGGTGGAGTACGTATTTCTGGTGATCTTCACTGTGGAAACGGTGCTCAAGATCGTGGCCTACGGGCTGGTGCTCCACCCCAGCGCTTACATCCGCAATGGCTGGAACCTACTTGACTTTATCATCGTAGTGGTCGGGTGAGTGTCTGCGAGGGAGAGGGACACCCCATCCTAGTTCGACTTCCTACTCCCAGGCCCGAATATTAATGTATTTTAAAACCATCTGCATTTCCAGTTCCAAAGGCTTGTGCTTTTTTGAGCAGAAAGGAGGGGTGGAGGAGAGTCCAAGGCCTGACACACACCCCTCCACCCCCCACCCCTACCCCCACCCCCGCTTCTCTGTCCCGTGCTCCTCCATCAGGCTGTTCAGCGTGCTGCTGGAGCAGGGACCTGGGCGGCCAGGCGACGCTCCACATACTGGGGGGAAGCCAGGTGGCTTCGATGTGAAGGCGTTGCGGGCGTTCCGGGTACTGCGGCCACTGAGGCTGGTGTCTGGAGTCCCGAGTAAGCCTCATTCCTTCTGCTGGGAGTTGGAGATGGGGTGGGGTAGGGTGAGGTTGAGCTAAGCCTATCTCTGCTTCCCACAGGTCTGCACATCGTGCTTAACTCCATCATGAAGGCGCTGGTGCCACTGCTGCACATCGCCCTACTCGTGCTATTCGTCATTATCATTTATGCCATCATTGGACTCGAGCTGTTCCTCGGACGCATGCATAAGACGTGCTACTTCCTGGGATCTGGTCAGCTAGCCTACCCCTCCCAGGACAGGACACGCCCCCTCCTCAGCCTCCCAGATCATCTAGTTCTCAAAACACCCACTGAAATTCCCAAGACTATCCCGAGGCTCAGGATTCACTCTTCTTTTGATGACAAATCTCCACCCCTATACGCGAGACCCCACCCTAGTTCAGGCCTCCCTGTCATTTGCAAGACTATCCGGCACTTACAGTCTTCTTCTCGCATCCCTATCAGTGATATTTACAGCTTTC